AGGAGCCTGGTAGGCTACCGTCCATGGGGTCACAAAGAGTTGGACACGACTGAGCGACTTCACAAGTTACAAGTTGGTGGGTTGATTATTTTGTTTTAATATATCCATTTCCCCATGACTCTTTACAGACTAAAACTTTTTTCTGTATGGTAAAAACATCCTTGGTGATGGTGGTTTAGTCGCTAGGTCGTGTCCAACTCTTCCAATCCTGTGGACTGTAGCCTGCCAGGCTCCTCTGTCCATGGGATTCTCCAGGCAAGGATACTGGAGTGAGTTGCCATTTCCTTTACCAGGAGATCTTCTCGAGCCAGGAATTGAACCTGGGTCTCCTGCATTGTAGGCAGATGATTTACCAACATTTCCTTCACTTATTAATAAGTCTGAGCCTCATGTAATATAATTTTGATGTGTATAATTGAAGTCTGGTGACTTCAATTTTAAGAAATGAAATTTAATTGAAAAGGCAATTTAAAATGCTTTGCATATTGATTCAATGGTCTCATGTAACATATTTTGAACACTGTTAATGTAAATACTCACTATGTGATTTTGTGTGATTTATCCTTAAATCTCATAAATGATATAAGTGCCTGTTACGCTTTTATTCCTTGATCGTTCTAGAGAAATGTATTTTGCACCTATTGTTTAGAAATAATAAAGTAGGCAAAAAGAGACACATGTGCAGTAGTTTAGGAATATAAAAGGTCAAAATGAAATATAATGTAAAAAAAAGAAATATAATGTGCCAGCATTTTCTATCTTTAGTAGTTTTTACACGGTGTTACACGCCTGTGTTTTTACAGTGTCAACACGTGCCATGCCGGTGGAGCTCTGTTTGACCAGCCCCAAATCTTCTCTTTAGGTTTTGCCCAGAGCGTTTCGATGATGAGTCTGCAATGAGAACATTCTGCTTGCTTGGATTTTCAGGCACACGGGAATGCCCAGAGCTGAGGTGAGATGATAAAGGAACACGAAAGATGTCAGACTTTGCACTTAAAATGTTGCTGATCACTGTCGATGAGAATGAACAATCCGTATAAGTTGTATAAACTAAATTTAGACGTGAAATTGTATAAATAATCATTGGTCTTCAGTAACCCGTCACTCTCTCCCTGACCAGGTTTGCCTACATGGCGGCCACCGTGCTTCTGAGTGTTCTGCTGAGGAGGCTGCAGCTGCTTTCTGTGCAGGGACAAGTTATTGAAACGAAGTATGAACTGGTGACATCATCCAAAGAGGAAGCCTGGATCACTGTCTCAAAGAGATATTAAAATCGGATGCATTTAACTTTGTTGAAGAAAATGATCATTTAGAAAATCTGTATTGAATCCTTTTAGAAACCAAGCATCATTGTGTAAAATAAATACCTGTTAATACTTCATCATGTAAATTTGGATTTTTGTATACCGGAATTTCTTGATGCACCATATACACATATATTCATTGCATCAGTATAGTGATCATTTTAATGGGAGGCCTTCTGCTTTTAACTTTTGTCTTATCACTTTCTATGCCATTATTTTCATTTTCTTAGCCTTAGTTTGACTTCTAAAATTAATATTCTTGAAGATAAATTATTTTGCACAGTAATATTTTCCAAATATTCATAAAAAAGAAAAATAATATTAACTCCTTTTCATAGTTACAGTAAATCACCTTAAAGGGGGGGGAAAAGGACTTTTCATAATTTTATTTATTGGATTAATGTTTTTATTTTCCAAGTATAAATTAATTTGTGTTTAATTTTTGTTATTAGGCTTGAGTAATTCAGTGAATAATGTACCTTGTATTTGCTATTGTTGTGCCTTCCCAGACAACAGTGTTCATTTCATGACTTATACATTGCTCATCATTTTGAACAGTTCTGAATCATTTGGAAAATTGTATAGTTGTTTTTAAATGTATTTTGTAATGTCTCTCCTAAGTAGCAAACCAAGAATGAGGCTTGTCTGTCCATTTTTCCTGAAAGTCTTAGTAGCACTATATTATTCCACTAATTCTCATTTGTGGAAAAAGCAATTCCTAAATTTATTTATTATGTTATATCCTAACCATAATGAACTTATGATTAAGAAATGAGAGAACATTAACAAAAAACCAAACCAAGTTTTAAAAAAAACAAATATGGGTGAAAATATTTGCAATATATATGACAGAAAGGGATAATATTCCATATTACATATAAAAAGCTCATACAAAAAAAAAAAGCTCATACAAGTTGGCAAGAAAACATGCAGTAGATAAATGGACAAAACAGCTTCTACTGGGAAACAGCGAATAAGCTTTTAGAAAAATGATCAGTCTCATTAGTAAGAATTAGTAAGCAGTACTTCTTTATTGGAGCTTTTTCAAAAATATTTGAAGTATTGTTCTAGATTTACATTTTAGTACTGAAAGTTTTATATTTAATACTTTTTTATTGACAGCATTGTATTTTAGTTTTGCTTTTTTTTTTCTGGTTATATTGTTCTTAAAGAATTTCTTTTAAATATGTTTTTTAAAAAGATAACTGGAGCCCATTATACAGAGTGAAGTAAGCCAGAAAGATAAACACCAATACAGTATACTAACACATATATATGGAATTTAGAAAGATGGTAACAATAACCCTATATACAAGACAGAAAAAGAGACACAGATGTAAAGAACAGACTTTTGGACTCTATGGGAGAAGGTGAGGGTGGGATGATCTGAGAGAACAGCATCGAGACATGTATATTATCAATTGTGAAACAGATCACCAGTCCAGGTTGGATGCATGAGACAAGTGCTTGGGGCTGGTGCACTGGGATGACCCAGAGGGATGGGGTGGGGAGGGAGTTGGGAGGGGGGATCGGGATGGAGAACACATGTAAATCCATGGCTGATTCATGTCAATGTATGGCAAAAACCATTACAATATTGTAAAGTAATTAGCCTCCAACTAATAAAAATAAATGGAAATTAAAATAAAATTAAAAAATAAATAAACTATAACAGACTTTTTAAATTAAAAAAAAAGATAACTGTGAAGGAAATATGCCAAGTTCCAATAGAGAGGAAAGGAAGAATAATGATAAATGTTTGCAAATGGACTTATTGACACTGCTGAATTTCTCTTGTAATTTTAAGTTTCAAGAATGTACTCTGGTTAAAGAGTCATTTTATGCTGTGTTTATGGTTATGTGGCTAACATTTCAGGCCTAATAATGAGTAGTTAAACATAGAAACTAAGTAATAACTAGATGCTGCCTTTACTTCTGTCAAAAATATTTAATTTATGGAATAATTTAAATTTGGAAACTTTAAGTGAAATGTAGTCCTAGATCCTAGCATCATGTTGTTTCAGTGAAGGCATGTTTTAAATTTATTTCCTCTCACCTTCATTTTCTATGGCTTAGTGTATACAGAGCATCTTCCTTTATTATCTAAGTACCTTATTTCGCTTTGAAAATGGCAATGGAAGGTTAGAGGAGGCAGATGATATATAAGCCAAATGTCATTAAAATCAGGTAAGTGGAATTTTAAGTGAGGTGAGATCAGCAACAACAGGGAGAGTCAGGGTGTTGCCATATTGCCAATAAATGAAAAGAAACTGTTTAATAATGATTGGATTTGAGGAAAATAGAGGATAGAAGAATCAGGTACATAAGCATACTTTATCCAGGGTTACGTAACTAATTTGCAACATTAAAAGTCCTATAAGATTTTTTAAAAATACTCTTTATCATGTGTAAAATAAGTTATCCATTCACCGTTGTTCTTGGCCCTTTGTATTTGTCAAGCGACCTAAATTTTATTAGCCTCAGTATCACTGATGCTTGTGGCATGCCTCTGGCCGGACTCTCAAGTTTTATAGTTTTTTTAGCTTTTTAAAATCTATCTCTTCACTGATTTTGATCTGCATTCTTTTTGATAGTTCAGAAGTTTATTTTTAAAAACATCAACACAACACATTTTTTATGGCATGAAAGGGCTCTTCCATACTTTGTGCTTATAAAATTCAAAACAGTTCTGTGCATGTGTTTGGGGAAAAAGAAAAACACATACATGTCTGGCCCACAAATGTGCAGTTTTATTTATATAAATAGATTCTATCTTAATAGATCTAATATCAAAATTTCATTTGTTTCCTTTGTATTAAAATAGTTTGTACTTTAAAGATAAAATGTTCTGTTTTTATTAGAAAAATTATATGGGTTATTGTAGAAAAATCTAGGAAATATAGAAGTACAAAAATAGGGAACTCCATCCCCACTATTTGAACTTGAGTGTTCAGCTTCTGAGGTTAATCTTTCTACTCTTTTATCCACATACACTTTTCACAAATATACCTAAAGTTCTCTCATTTAATATGTTATGAACCAGTAGCATTTTCTATAACTGAAACATTACTGTTCTCACTCAGAAGTAAATACAGACTTGCCAATTTTTTCTTCCCCTCTTTCTCTTCTCAGATATTGTTATTTTCAGCTTTAAAAATGGCCTTACTTCATCCATTCTATTAAAACAGTTATATATATTAATAAACTCAAGCTGCTAAAGTCAAAACATAATGTAGGTACTACAGTGAGCACTTAAAAAATGAAATTGCTCCACTAGCCTAAGAAAAATTTTTGATATAATTAAGTTGAAATTGGGGTGGCATTTTACCTTTTAAGAGGACATTTTAAGAATCTTTGTTGTCATTTTTGGACTCTGAGGGAAACATTAACATTCTCTGAAGACATCTTGATTTTTTTTCTTCAGATCCATAAAAAGTACTGTCGCCTGTTATAAAATGTACTTTTTTTTTTTTTAACGTGGTTATGTTGACAGATTGAAAATTGCTTAAAAAAGCATAATTCTACTGAGTGTATAGAAGTGAAGACATGGCCAGTAGAATCAAGTTCGGGAGCTGTGAAAAGACAGCTGCAAGAGAAATGGACGCTATTTCAAGGGTGGGTTTCGATGATGTCAACAAACTGATGCTAGTGACCTGGTTTTCTCCTTTGCCAGTCCTCTGCCTGTTTCCCAAGCTGCTAAGAGCAGCGATGAAGGTAGAAGGGGAGGAGTGGGGGGAGACTGTCAACAAAGCTGGTACTGTTACTGCGGAAGCCAGAGGACCGCACGGCCAGAAGGGCTCCGGACAGTGTTGCTTTGAGTGTGGTGACTGACGTGCCCTGATAGAAAGGAGCGAGATGGAAACTTGCTGAAAGTAGAACATGGGGCTGGAGAAAGCGTGTGTTACCAACCAGCCTCTTTATATACCCATCTCATTTAGTCTTTAGAACATGACTGTAGGTGCTGCTGGGACTAACCTGAGGTGGATGAACCTAGAGCCTATTATACAGAGTGAAGTAAGAGAAAATCAAATATTGTATATTAATGCATGCATATGGAGTCTAGAAAGATGTTACTGATGAACCGATGTGCAGGGCAGCAATGGAGACACAGATGTAGAGAACAGACGTGTGGACACAGTGGGGGATGGAGTGGCTGGGATGAATTGAGAGAATGGCATGGGAACATATCCGTTACCACATGTAAAACAGACAGCACGTGGGAATTCCCTGTGTGACGGGGCTCAGCCCAGTGCTGTGTGACAGCGCAGAAGGGCGGGATTGGGTGAGAGATGGGAGGTGTGCTCGGGAGGGAGAGGACGTGGGGAGGGGGCTGATGCTTGCTGATGATGTATGGCAGAGGCCAACACAATATTGTAAAGCAGTTGTCCTCCAATCAAAAAATATTGAGAAAGAAGAATGGAACTGGAGGAATCAACCTGCCTGACTTCAGACTATACTACAAAGCCACAGTCATCAAGACAGTATGGTACTGGCACAGAGACAGAAATATAGATCAATGGAACAAAATAGAAAGCCCAGAAATAAATCTATGAACCTATGGACATCTTAAAGGAGGCAAGAATATACAATGGAGAAAAGACAACCTCTTTAACAAGTGGTGCTGGGAAAACTGGTCAACCACTTGTAAAAGAATGAAACTAGAACACTCGAACACCATACACAAAAATAAACTCAAAATGGATTAAAGATCTAAATGTAAGACCAGAAACTATAAAACTCCTAGAGGAGAACATAGGCAAAACACTCTCTGACATAAACCACAGGAGGATCCTCTATGACCCACCTCCCAGAATATTGGAAATAAAAGCAAAAATAAACAAATGGGACCTAATGAAACTTAAAAGTTTTGCACAACAAAGGAAACTATAAGCAAGGTGAAAAGACAGCCCTCAGATTGGGAGAAAATAATAGTAAATGAAGCAACAGGCAAATAATTAATCTCAAAAATATACAAGCAACTCCTGCAGTTTAATTCCAGAAAAATAAACAACCCAATCAAAAAATGGGTCACAGAATTAAACAGACATGTCTCCAAAGAAGACATACAGATGGCTAACAAACACATAAAAAGATGATAACATCACTCATTATCAGAGAAATGCAAATCAAAATGACAATGAGGTACCATCTCATGCCAGTCAGGATGGCTGCTATCCAAAAGTCTACAAGCAATAAATGCTGGAGAGGGTGTGGAGAAAAGGGAACCCTCTTACACTGTTGGTGGGAATGCAAACTAGTACAACCGCTATGGAGAACAGTGTGGAGATTCCTTAAAAAACTGGAAGTAGAACTGCCATATGACCCAGCAATCCCACTCCTGGGCATACACACCGAGGAAACCAGATCTGAAAGAGACACGTGTACCCTAATGTTCATCGCAGCACTGTTTATAATAGCCAGGACATGGAACAACCTAGATGCCCATCAGCAGAAGAATGGATAAGGAAGCTGTGGTACATATACACCATGGAATATTACTCAGCCATTAAAAAGAATACATTTGAATCAGTTCTAATGAGATGGATGAAAATGGAGCCCATTATACAGAATGAAGTAAACCAGAAAGAAAAACACCAAAATATATGGAATTTAGAAAGATGGTACTGATAACCCTATATGCAAGACAGACAAAGAGACACAGATGTACAGAACAGACTTTTGGACTCTGTGGGAGAAGGCGAGGGTGGGATGTTCAGAGAGAACAGCATTGAAACAAGTATACTATCAAGGGTGAAACAGATCACCAGCCCAGGTTGGATGCATGAGACAAGTGCTCAGGGCTGGTACACTGGGAAGACCCAGAGGGATGGGATGGGGAGGGAGGTGGGAGGGGGGTTCAGGATGGAGAACACATGTAAATCCATGGCTGATTCATATCAATGTATGGCAAAAACCACTACAACATTGTAAATTAATTAGCCTCCAACTAATATAAATAAATGAAAAAAAACTAAAAACAAAAAATAGTTCTTCATACTTGCAAGAAGAAACAGAACTGTAAATGAAGATAGCAAATACTAGCTAAGAAACACTGAGAGATCTAAACTTCAGATTATCTTAATATCTTCAGGGGGGTGTAGTGGGGTTTTATTCTTAAGAGAGAAGCAGTAGTTTCAAATGATGTACAGTTTATAAAAGTAATGTAACAGAGGTATTAAAAGAACTCTCAAAACTAATACTGCCAATCAATTGCCGTTCGTACAGCTGTTTAAGTTTTTTCTCTGTTCCCACATATGTTTATTTTTACCCATTGTGGTCAGAACAACATGGTCTACTTTTTGGTTAATACATTTCAAACATTTTCTTTTGTTACTTCATTTTTGTAAGGTCTTGTTTGGGGGGGGTAGACTTTGAAAGTAGAAATTAATTTTATGTTTGATTTATAAAATGTTATGCCACTGAGTGACTGGATAATTGTAAAGTTTGACCTTGAAGCGATTTTATAAAATATCCAGACAATAAACAAAAAGGCAGGAAATGACATTCCTTCTTCCAGCGTGCTTCCCATTCAGGCAGTTTATGGTTTGGTGGCTGTCTTTCTTCAGATTGGAAGCAGATCTTGTTATAGCATGGAAAATGTGCCAGGAGTAAATAAATCACAAACAATCCTGTCTGGTAGTTTTTTTTTTTTTAAACTTGGTTTTATGTATGTCTAAAAATACTTGCAAATTCTTGTTTTAATTTTTAACACTTAATGGTAAAAATTAAACTGTGTTACCCCACCATGGTAACTATCATGGATAAAGTTGTAAGGTGCCTGTCTCCAAATGACAGTCAGTAAATGTTTTTGAATAAATGAATGAAATCTTTATTGAGGTTTTCTATGCACATACAGGAAATTATTAAAGTTACTTAATAGTTGAAGAAGAAAACCAAACTACTTCTAATGCTAATATATTTTGTGATATGTATTGCTGGAAGTATTTAAGAAAGTGTTGTATGGACATCTTTCAGTGATGTCTGTATTAAGTGTGAACATAGATTTATAATCAGCTATAGTTATACAAAGTATCAACCAGAATAGTTGGTAAGCAAGTAGACCTTTGTTCCTTCTATATCTTATCATCAGATTATCATTAAACTAGGATCAGAGTTCTTTATTAGGTTAGCAAGAGCATTATTTCCCAAAGTGTCTCACGGTACCCTATCCTATGAGATACTCTGAGAAAAAGTTTCCTTGATCTTTGTGTATGTATGTTCTTTCTCAGACACCTGTAATACATATTATATTGGAAGAGCTGAGAAGTTCTAATGTAAGGAAACCTATTTTAACTTGATGTAACACTGAATGTTCCAAATGTATTTGATGAAGGTACCCCTTTACAGGTTACACCTATTATCCTGAAAAACTGGTGTTTCATGGAGATGTAGTGTTCACAGAACAGAACCCTTTTTGTCCAAAATGATCTATATAGACAAGTAGGAACATCTGTCTTCACTAGTTCTGTAATCTGTGCATGGTCCAGAAATGCTCCAGGCTAGGAGTGACCTAGTCATTCCAATTCACCTGAATTCCGTATTCTCTCACTCCCTTACCTCTACTGTTTTTCCTTGTTAGAGCCCTTGTACTCTGCTGACTCTCTCCTCAAAAGAAATGTGAACCCTTTAGTCAGGCAACATTTTTCATTGGTCCCTTCCTGTATGCCAGATCTTATGCCAGATGCTGGGGATATAGCAGTGAGCCAAACAAACATGGAACTTACTGTGTTCTCTGTCTTCCGTGCTTCACCCCAGGAGGAAGAACCCCAAAGTCTCACGTGCCAAAGCTTAACTTTGGAGCACTTGAGCTCTCTAGGTCCTCAGTTTGGAAGCAACTCAAAGACCCTCCAGGTTAGTGGCTGAAAGGGACAGAAGAAGGAACTTGTAGCTGACTACATGACAAAGAACGGAAGGCTTCGGTTACAGGTACAAGGAGGGAAGAAGCACAAGGAACTGTTGGGAGTCAAACCATTATTTTTGTTATTTTTAGTTTATGAGCAAGAGAGTTAAACTACATATCTTACCAAGGAAAACTGTCAACATTGATGATGAATAGGAATACTGGAGATCATTTAGAGTGAGGAGAAACAAAGCTAGGAATTGGTTTGACTCGGTTAAAGAGAGATTTTTGTCCAAATAACTATGAATTGCTCAATTATACTGCAGCACTAAGTGGTTTATCTTTTATGATTTGTTGTTTGTATTGTAAGGTCATCAGCTAATAGATAATTAATTTTTAGCGCTTAAAAGGATGTTGTAGAGATTATATGGCAACCTGCTCACAGTTTAACATTTTGGAGGGAGAAGCCTAGAGCCTCTGGGAGGCTTTCATTTTGGATTTGCTCATAGCTTTCTGAAGACAGGTGCTTAAGGCAGTGCTGCTATTATATTCATAGGGATTTTGTTAAGCTTTCAAGGAGGTGTAGATTCAGAAGGAATTGGGAAAAAATTTTTTTTAATATTCTTGATGCAGAGCCTTTGAGGGAGATGCAAATGTGTTTTGAATGTTAAACTTACTTAGATTTAAAAATACATATCTTCAAGCAAAGTTGCCATGACAACCTTTCTTAATGTGTGTATAAAATTTATGTCTGTCTCTGAGATTTTCATCTTTTCCAATACAGGGTTTAATCATAAGAATTGGGCACTGTGGTATATTTCTAGCTAGATGATGACCTGTGAGAATTATGTAATTTTGGGAGATGCAAATCAAGTATTACAGCAGTTGTGTAGCATGATGATTCCACCAAGGTAAATTTCATCTTGTTCTGTCCATGATCAGAGATTGATCTGGCCTGAAACCTAAGCTGAAATTCTGTATGCAAATAGAACCATGC